CACGGCCTGGAGCTGCTGGTGGCTGAGGGGAAAGAGGATGTCCCCGTGGTGTCACTTACGGGAAAAACAGCCAGAGGAGCCGGGGCGCAGGAGAGAGCCGCTATTGCCGAGTCCAGGCACACGACCCGGCTCTGCTGCTAGGTTCAGGCACGTGAACGCAGTCACATAAGAACCGCTGCTTACCACACGCAAATGGAGACAAATCAAAGCCTGACTTTCATTTCAAGGCGAATTCTTTGAGCTGAGTACGGAGAGAAGCCAACGTGTACGTGGAACTAGCAGAATTAGGGCGCAAGGAAAGTAAGCCTGTTTCTGACCTGCTTTACTAATGATTAAACCGGCAGAGGAGAACACTAATGTTTACCATCCAGGCTTTCGTTTGAATGCTAGGGATTCTGACTGTTAAGGTGACAGCATGGAAAGATGAAAGTTCATCATTTGTGAACAGGCCCTAAAAATAAATGCTCCTCATGTCTTTTTTTTTTCCTCCTGTTTTCGTTACATTTTCTGTGTTGTCTTCACCACTGCGCACAGTGTCAAGTTTTCTTTTATAAACAGTAGAAATTTAGAAACCACCCTCTCTGTGGTCAACTTTCAATTTACGCTTTGAAACACGAAGATAGGCAAACACTTAGGTTTTATTACATCTAAAAGACCTACTCCTGTTGTTGCATTTCACATACATGACTGATCATAATTAAACTGAAATTATTTTTTTCTGTAATGACTTGCAGCTGTGAGCATCACAGAATTACTTGGAAGCTTCGTAAGTGTTCCTTTTGCCACTTTAGGTCTGTTGTATTTTAAGTTCATGGAAAGTCTTCTAATATGTAAAAAAGAAAAGTAAATAAGATGTTTAATAACCATGCAGAAACTAATTATTAGCTTTCTTTTACCTTAACCAGTGTTTTTTTAATTAAGTTTGCAGTAGTAAGCACTCAGATGTAAATCTTGAAAGCTCCAGGTTCTCTTAAGCATGTGCATTATAATGAAGTTATTGGAATCTGCACATCTGTGTTATAGCCCTCTAATCTGCAGTCATATCCATGTGAGTGGTGCTTGGGCCCTGCAGATAGATTAACCACTGTCCAGACCTCAGTGTGAAGTCTGCATCCACCATAGATCCCATTTCAGCACCAGATAAGTAGAGTGCAAGCTTCTGAGAGCAAGAGCTATCTTTGTTAATTGTTATTCATGATTAGAGAACAGGATAAAGAGTTAAATAAAAGTTTAGAAGATTAGAATTGCTGTAAGCAAAGAACAGTTGAGTAAATAATATTTTCTGTGCAAGAGTCCTGAAGTATTTGCAATAAAAATATCAAAATTGTCCTGAGTTACATAGAGATTTTATTTAAATCCAAAAGTCACAGTTACAGGTAAATTAATTTAAGAGCAGGCTTCTGTGACGCAGGTGAATAGACCTTGGTGCTATTACGCCGTTGTGGTCAAAACACAAGATCTGACATCTCCAAGAACTTTTCACTTAATGGAGTTTTTCTTAAAACTTAGTTGCAGGAAAAAATAAAAGAAGAAGATTAGAATGATGCAGTTAAATGTCAAAACATAGACTAATTTAAAGTCAACTGTGAATCAGGCCTTATCCACCCCAGAGAGCCTCTGCCGCAGAGCTTTATCAGCACCACTGTCCTGATAGCACAGCAGTGTAAACAAAACCAGCAGAAGAGGTTTTTCTGCTTGTACACGTTCTCCCTTTCACATACAGTGACATACAGTGATGAAAGCTCCTTTTTTTTTTTTTTAATCAGCATAATCATCCGTTCACATTTTACAAATCCTCAGCCATTCTAGCAGGACTATCTGCTACAGGCCTAAGTTTACCCTTGTTTTACACAATTTTATTATTTTTTATTCTGTTATTTCAGGACATATGGACTTTCAACATCATTCTTACTAGTCTGCTTTTATACAATGACAAATACATGACACTTTATTCCCACTTCAGTCTTCAGTAAGATCACCAGGTAGATCTATATTCATATATATAAGAGGAAATGAACACTGGAAGACTAGACCGCTGAAATGCTTAGTTCTGTGAAAGTGTACTTCCTGACCTTTCTATTTTTGCATTTCCAATCAACTTGCTGGTTGCTCTCTAAGGTCAAGGAGTACTTCAGGACATCAGTAGGGCCACCTGACATTCCTGAACTCTTGCCTATTGTCACACCAGAAAGATCAGTTTTGCTGAAATAAAAGTTAATAAACCAAGAGGCTTATTTCATATCAAATAAATTCAAGAGGCTGTCACAGAAAGGTTTCTTCAGGTCAGTATCCAACATTGCAACACTTGTGAGTGCTTCAGTTGTGTTCCATGTCATTTAATAAAGTGTTTTAGTACTGCGTGTAGGGCAGGATGGTTTCAGCTGTATCTGTCACCTGAGACCTATCCAGGCTTGAAGTTTTGGGCCTCTTTAGCTGCTCTTTCTGATAAACACTGTTGGTTTTTATAGTGCATGGACAACAGGAGGCTATGATTAACTGCTAGCGTATCCCACGGGTGTTGCATGTTTGAGGCATTATGTATTCACAGACAAGACAGAATTGACTCTCTGCTTGAACTGATCATCCTCTTTATAGCCTAGTGCTGAGTATTTCTGTGCACTGACTTTGCTGGGCGCTGCAGGTGCCACGACCCCCCACAGTTATGTTCAGCAGAGGGTTTCAGCTGTAGGAATGCTGACACAGGGAAGCCAGGTGTAGGAGTACGGTGCTCTTGTGCTAGTATATGTCAGCTGTGCACCTTAACTCGGTGAGTTGGACTGTTTCTAGCTCTGCTCCATCCAGTCTTCTGATCACAAGGAATGCCCCAAAATAAAACCAATCAGGCAATGGCTCCTCAGTCTGATGTAGTTGCTATTCCTGTAGTATTGTGTGCTACACAACTTCAGAGCCAGAGGCAAAAGAGTGCTGAGGTAAATACAAACCTTCCGTTTTTTATGTAATTTCCCAAGCTCACTTATTTGCACGTCATTTGCCTAAAATCAATAAAATAGCAGTGAGATACATAAAAAGGAGATAATGACCCACAACACAGTCTAAATAAGCAAAAAATTAGGATTCCATTTTATCTTTGCAAAATGTAAATGTATTTTTATGTTATATACCCTGATGATTCTCAGGGAAAAAATCTTGCCTATTAAACTTCACAGTTCTGAAGAAAATTACAGTTATGATATTTATGAATATCAGCTTGATTTTGTAAGGCACATTTTTGGTCTCACATCATAATAGAGATCAGAGTATTAACTTCTAGGTCACTGCAGCAGGTAATACAAAAGAAGTTCCATAACATTTCCCCACCTGTCAGTCACATACCTCACTTTATAATGTCCATTGCTTTTTTCTTTCCTGAATATGACATTTAAACTATACTTCAGGCATGGTACTGCACAAACTTCTTTATCCCATCAGATCTTTCTGGTCATGATCAGTTAGTACACATACAGAAAGCAGAATCCTGGAATGTTCTCCTTACCCACACTTTTCTAAAAATAAAGCAAACAACCAGTCCATGACTGCATTTAATTCAGGTTTTGTGTTATGTGCTCACATTTTGTCAGTGTTTATAGCATTTTTTCAGTTGTTGAAAATAAACAAGTCCTTTGTTTCCACAAAGTTTTATCACAGCAGTATGCCTCAGAGTTCCTGGCAAGGAAACGTCGAGCAAATTCCTTTATGGAAGAAAGCAAGAAGGGAAACTTAGAAAGAGAATGCATTGAAGAATTATGCAATAAGGAAGAAGCCAGGGAAATCTTCGAAAATAATCCTGAAACTGTAAGTATCTGGTGAATGTCTGTGAGGTAGACAGTAGTTTTTCCTTAGTACACAGAATTCGCACTGAAAAGCTTATAGAAAACGCAGAGCAAAAACTAGTGTGATACTGTCTTGTATATTCAACCTTCACAATTAATAATGAAGACTATGCAATAACAGAGGACAGGTAAGTAGACACTATTTTAAAATATGGATCACCAATTTTAGATCATAGTTGTGTGCAGGCATTCCATGAGGAGGAAGCCTTTTGGCTTCAATTAAGATTTTACACAGAAGATGCATGACAATGCAGCCCTTTTAATGAAGGGATTGGGCGTTTTATTATAAGCTTTTTATTTCTAGGAGTAAGAACACTGCTCCTCAATTCATTACCACTGCACATTTAATATTAGGCAGATTTGATTCAGCTTTGTATTATAAAATAGGTATTTTTTTATAAAAAGTGTGGTTAAAATGAAGTTTTGTTTTGCAAGCTATGTATCAATTCACTGAGAGGGAAATTAAATTTAATGAGAATCTTCCTTCCACTAGTAACTCAGAGACTTGTGTTTAATAAATAACTGCTGTCTTAACTAAAATAGTGCTGATATAGACAACTTGATCTATAATTCATGATTTTTTGTTGTTGTTTGTTTCTGTTATAGTTACAATACAAATACATTTTAGAATGTATTTAGTGATGTATTTTGCTATAACTCTACCTGAAGTCAAATCAGTTTTCTCTTACTGTTTATTTATTTTTCCTTTCTTTCTGCAGGAATATTTTTATCCCAAATATTTAAGTAAGTACAAAAAAAACCCTGACCAATCCTGGTATGTCATTCACCACTGTTATTTATAATACGAGTTGTGTTGTTCTAGCCATAGAGCTTGAATGATTTCCTAGCTGATTATAGTGCTGAGTATCTCCTAGGCAGTTCTGTGTGCTTAGATCCCAGCAGAGATATTCAGAAGGTGAGTTTGTGATCAGCTGCCCTTAATATGCTCAGACAGTTTTTCTAGTTCAAGCTGTGAGAACAGACTCTTTGAAGATGCTGTGCATAAGCTGTTGTAATTTCAGTCTAAATGAGTATTTGTATCATAAGCAGACTGTGTGGGTTTATGTTTGCAGGCTGCCTTGCCTCCCATCGAGCAGGGGTTTTCAGGGTTACTGCAAGTACTCCAGATTCTCCAGCTGACCTGAGGGCTTGTGTCAATGGTAAGCACTGCTGTTGTGTACTTCACCTCCTGCTCTCAGACCTAAGTATATGCACTTGCATGGTTAGCAAGCAGTTCCCACAGGCAGAAAAAGAAACCAATCTCTGTTTAACTCAGGCAAACACAATTACCCGGCATGGAAATTCACGTAAAACTAGATGAGACGCAGCATTTTCAGAATGAAAGGTGTAAGTATTTTTAACTCTGCTCTGGAAAAGAAACACAATTAATTGCAAAACATGCCCATTTGTAAAGCTCTTTTAGGAGCACGGGAAAATTTGCTGCCACAGGCCACCGACATCCCTTATTATGTTATCTGGGTTCTACCAGGGTTTTTAATAATTGTGCATGACTCTTCACTTATAGCTGATACTGTTCTGTCAGTTAAGAGACAGAGCTTCCTGCTTAATTCTCCTATGTACCACTCTTTGGCTGATAGTTAAATTAGAGCACTTCATGAAGTAGGTAATACTGGCATCTGAAAAATACAAACATTAGCTGGAAGACATAGTCATTGACTATAGACATAAGGTCGCAAAACATGAAATTTGTGGTGGTGTTCAGGCATGAGTTTTTAAGCCAACATGTTCATAACTCCAGTGTGAACAGTGTCCTTACTAATAAATTCACAGGAAGCAATACCATATTTCCGACTCATCACAACAGAAACATTTCTTTACAATTCTTAAACCTTAACAGCTTGGTTACATCAAAAGAGTTTTCAGTTACAAACATTTCAGTTTGAATGCACATACTTATCCCAGCAGCTGACCCTGTTTTTGTCATTGAAAGCAATTGAGAATAAAAAACAAATCCTTAATAATTACACTGCACATGGTCATGGATGAACATATTTTCCAGATCACTTGGCCAGCGTGCCTGCTGTCACAAACTAAAATGTTCTCCCATTCATCTTCTCTGTCTTTCTCACTCATTAGAGGTCCTGAGAGGAAAGTGTTCTGTGGATGTGCAGTGTTTCTGTATCACTAACCATTCCCCAGCGAGAACAACTGATTTCCTTGATACTAATTTCTCTCTTTCTCTTCACCTTAAAAACCAATTTTTTAAAAAATGTTACTATCAGTCAGTCATCAGGAAAAAGGAAAAGTTAAAAGATTATGCATATAAACTCTCTAAGTCTCTAAGGCTCAAGTATTCAAAAAAAATTAGAACATTTCAGGAAGAGGGTTACTGCTGAAAAAATAAATATAATTTTAAATAAATAATAAATAATTATTAGTAATATATAACAGTATTTTAAAAATCTTGTCCCTGAGACAAACTTTTTGTGATAGATGCCAACAGTTTTGAAAGTTCTGAAATCTTTTTAATTTATTGACCCTTTTTTGTTTTTAAAATGAATATTCTGATTTTTTGAATAACCTGAAATAATTAATTATTATTTTATATTAATCTTCTCAAGATGAAAAGCTAAGCAAAAAATGACAACCCTGACAACCCAAACATAATTTAAAAATAACTTCACTGGTTTGATGTTTGTCCAAATCATGCATTTCAGATTACAAACACTGACATTTCTAGATTAATGATTTAAAAAATGTGATTTTTTTTTACTCTATTTGGGGAGGAAAAGAAAAGTTTTCACAGACTTTCTTGAACATTTCTAATCCAAGCAGCTAAGCTCTATCTCTAAATACCTAAACATCCGTATTACAAAAGTTTGCATCCTTTTAAGTGCATTTGGAAATACCTGTGTTTATATTTGCACAGCTCACCATGACACATTTCTTGGATATCCAATACTCTGAGTGGCAGAGGATGCAGGGACCACAACCTGTTCCTGGCCACCTACCCTCTCACTGCTGGCTGAGTGAACTTCTCGCGTTCAGCCATTGCCACAGAGAGTTCTCAAAGAGCATCGCTGGGTCATGGGCCAAAAGAAGGCAGCCCAGCTGGGAAAAGAGGAACACCAGGCCTCTCCAGAACACATGGCTGCTGTGTTACGGCTCTTCTGTGGCACACTAATTCATCTCTAAAAATAAGCTCTTTGGCTATCCCGTACTGTCCATCCATTCTTATCTTCCTCCTCAAATGTATTTCACTAGTTCACCACTTTTTATTGACTAGATTTCCCAGTTCTCTTTCCTTTTACGCACTTAATTCCCTCCACCTTACTCCTACTGAGCACTGCCAATCCAACACATTAGTAAGTCTTTAGTAAGTCCCCAGTGCCATTTGCTGAGAAACATTTCCACTCTTTTTTTTTCCCAGTTGTACACTCTGAGAGCCAGCTTCTACTTTCTGTCATTTACATAAGGCTTTGCTTATACCAAGCTTAGCACGCCTGCTGGTTCTTGAACCTACAAAAGCAATGAAGAAGCAAGAAAGAGGAAAAAGTTTAGGCCCTTCCAGAACTGACATTTGGCAATTACTGTGAATTACTGTGATACCTCTAACCTCGTTCCTTCTATTTCTTTTGTTCCTGTCCATCTTCACCTGTAACTGGAGTCCTCTGGTTTGCAAAATTAATATTATACATTACACAGCTGCTATCAGAGAGATGAGGTGGACTTCTTGAGCTTGGCAGGCCTCTGCGGTTTGGGTTTTACTTGCAGCAGAATTTAGTTAGAAGTAGATTTAATCAACAAATATATTAACAACAGATTTTATTAAGCTTTCTTTGTCACAAAAGTCTCAAACTATTACTCTGCGGAGCCCAGTTCTTTTCAACACGATTGAAGGAATCCAGAAACCTTATATATAGAAACACTGGAGGTTTGGGTCTCTAGTTACACTGGCCTTACCTGAATCTGACTTCACAAAATCCTTCCTCCATTTCAGTCTGCTATCTGTTCTGTCAGGATACTACCTTGTATAAAGGCAGGTCTCAAAATGAGGTTTTAGACTTTTACAAGAATGCAAGTCTAAAGCAGAAACAATATATTTGTAATTATTAGAGGCCTGCAGAAAATAAAATCCATAAAACTCTGGAAAAGTAAATAGAGCAATACCTTACACAGTATGCTGACATAAGCTTATGAAAATGGTGTAAAAAGTTAAAAGATGCTTGTGTATTTTGAGTAAAGCAAAAGAAGTGTATTGTGTTCTCTGCCACAAAGCTGTTTTGAGCTTTACTTTCTGAGGTCATACTAGCTGGTGTAAAACTGCCCTTAGTTGCTCTTTCCAATCCAAGTTTCCATTTCTGTCAATGAAATTAGTGTATGTGAAAGGTGACAATACTGAACACTGATGTACCTATCCAGTCTGGCCACCAAATCTGTGAAGCTGTGGCAACCCAAGGCCCAAGGAAACCCAGGGAAAAGTAAAATAAGTCCTTAAGATATAATTATCAATCAAGCCTATATTTGATCACAGTACAGTTGGTGATAATTGTCTCTGAATTAGCCTTAGAAAGGGAAGTTTTTTTTTTTTAATTTTTTGACACTTGCTATTTTTTACTATCATCAGAATTAGTAGTAAAGTTGTTACATGGGTACTTGATCTTATGCATCCAACTCTTTCTTACGAAAAGTTTCTGGGGCAGGATAAAAGAGTAAGCTGACTACTGAGGAAAAAATACCAAAATAACAAATATTTCTATTTTTTTTCCTCCCACAGAAATTTCAAACCAATGCAGCCCTTTACCATGCAATAGAGATGGATATAAGGACTGCATAGATGGACAGGCCAAATATACATGTGTCTGTAAACCAGGATGGCAAGGAGAAAAATGTGAAGAAGGTACAGTCTTTATTGTCACTGTGATGATAGTTCTCAGGAACACAACTGTAGTTTAAGAATACCTACACCCACGTAGTTGGTAAATGAATCTCTGAGCAAAAGTCTTTTTTTT